AAATATTGTTGATTTTGTGCAGATACCTAATGGCTGTGGTCATTATGACTAGCTCCCTAGTGTCATTATGACCACGCCCATCGGGTATGTACATGTAGTAGTTTCCCCATATAATATTGTTGGTTATGTGCATATGACTTGTATTATTGAAAAATATGCTTGACTTCAATGAGCCAGGTTGGTATAATCTTAATTTTGTCGCATATTCAAAATGTGAAAATGAAATGATTCAAACCTTTGTCACCTTTATTCCAATTCCTACAATAATTTCAAACATTTATGCAATATAAAACTCAATTATTTAAGCACTTTAATTGATTTTCTAGATTTCTTGGTCCGTTATTAATAGAACAAAATTGGAACCATTTAAGAGATACCATCAATGCCATTACCAGGCAATATTCTCAATACTAAGGTTTTGTCTTCATCAATACGAAAACCAAGAGAATTGTTTTTTAAGATAACTTTTGCAGTTTTTCTGCACTTTTTTTTGATTTGTTAACGAAGTTTCACGTTTAGATTGATTGATTTATTGTATGTCATTTAACGTCTCGCAACGTTTAGAATGTAAGTTTTCAATTAATAACGACTTTTCAATGCTTTTCTTCTCTTAAATTGGGTAAACCTAGTAAAGATGATTTTTTTAACTTAAAAATTGGCTTGGGTCTTTGCAATGTTCTTTTGTCTCGACTCTATGGGCTGAGTGGTACAAAGAACCAATCCACATGCATTAAAAGGTCATTTATAATTGAAAATTTACATTTTAGACGTTGACCTTCGTTAACAAAGTGAAAAAACACAATTTCTTTTTTTCATTCTTTTAAAACTTTTCTGATGGTTTTCAATTCAAGTAAAGACATATTTTAGCATTGGCAATATTTTCTGATAATGGCATTGTTGGTATCAATTAAATGATTCCAATATTGTTCTATTTATAACAAATAAAAAAAAAAGAGGATAAAAAAATGTACTGAAATAAAAGAACTTTATATTGTACAGTAAAACTTGTTTTACATGGCCACCTTAGGGAAATTTTGAAAGTGGTCACTTAGGACAGTTTGCCCTCGAAATAACCATTCAAACAATAAATGAACAAAGTTTAACGTTACAGTTAAATTAATCAATAATCAGGAGAATAAAATAAATGAACCTTACTGACATTTTTTCATATTTATGCATAATAATTCATGTACATTTATCATTTAATTGAAGAAAAAAAATCTTTTAAGGTGTGTGGGTGGGTGGGTTTGCGCTTGTTTCTGTTCATACACGTCAGATAAAAAGTCACTACATTTACATGGTGTTGTATTGAAATTGAACAAAACCCTTTTAATTGTCAATTAAAGATATATATATATATATATATATATATATATATATATATATATATATATATATATATATATATATATATATATATATATATATATATATATATATATATATATATATATATGCGGCTCACTAAGGTAAATTGATATGTTTCTTTTCTTAGACCCCCACCCACCCCACACCCTGCACACAAACACGCACACACACACACACTCTCTCTCTCATTCACACACACACACACACCCTCTCCCTCACATACACACAACTCACACACCCACACTATAGGATGGTAAAAAATTAAAAGACAAATATTTCAGCCAGAATTTGTCACTCCCCCTTAAAATTCTGTTTCATTATGTTCAAGCAATGATCAGCACATACATGTACTCAAAGTCCTGTTTAATCGGCAGTTTACTTACTTAGTGAAGATATGAGACTAAGCTTAATGAGCAACAAATCTGATTTCTACAAAGAATCAAAATTTAATGGGGTTAAGTATGCCACACAGTAAACATTTTAAATAATGATGAATGAAAATCCTAAATTTACATAACACTAGGTTTAAGAATTAATTTCTTATCATTGTTGTGTTAATGACTGGTGCAGCCTGTCATATTTCAATGTAAAACAAAACTCTGCAGTTGGAAAATTGATTCAGTAATTTCTAGATCATTTCCACCGTATCAAACTTAATCCCAGAAAAGTGAGAACTCTTTTGTCAGTTGCATGGGGTACTCCTCCCCCCCCCCCCCCCCGCCGTTTTATAAATTAACAATATTTAATTTAATATCTAGATTAGTTCGAAATACCGGTATACAGCTGAACTCTAAATAAAAGACACCAAAGAGTTTGACATTTCATATTTGGATGTTTTACTAGAGAAAGGCACTGATGACACTTATGGTGATGACTTCAAATTTTCTATCGTAAACTTCGCTTATTTATGTAGCAATATACCATTATCACCTGCATATGCTCCCAGTGGATTCGGTACGCAAGAGCATGTTCTACGTACGAATAATTTCTAAAACGAGGCAGCCTATTGAGAAATAAGTTGATGATACAAGGATATCATCATAACAATCTCGTTTAAGGTCAATATTTTGCAAATGTTATGGTCGATACAATGATCTTGTTTGCAAATAAGAACTTTACTTAAGTCGAAGCTTGGCTAACGTTTTTCGTACAAATTAATGCCTTTATTTTCACCCTGAATGGTCTACGGATTTTCCCGTATACTCGATCATGGAGCACACAGCGGACGTGATTAGCCGACAGGGGATGCTTACTCCTCCATGACCACTAATTCAAACTCTGTTTTCAGAGATCTATATTGGCTTTATCTCATCATTGTATTGTTTAAACGAGCTTTAGAGAATCATCACTGTTCGTTATTTTTACATTTTTCCTTTCAAGTTTCTCAGTAATATATTCTTTTGAGCAGCGGTTATTTTTCTATGAATATTAAACACATTTAAACTTTATTATGTTAAAGTACTTTTGATTGATTGATTGATTGATTGTATGTTGTTTTACGTCCCATTCGAGAATTTTTCACTCATATAGAGACGTCACCATATACCGGTGAAGGGCTTCAAATTTTGACCTTTACTCGGCACTCAGGCCCATTGAACAGTGAGGATTCTTTATCGTGCCAAAGTCTGCCGTGCCACGGGGCCTCGATTTCTCATCCGAAGCACCCGCAACTTTCACTTCAAAGTGCTGAGCGTATTGCGAAGGAACAGTTTCCACCCATTTTTTATCGACTTAGGTCAGTCGCGGCCGAGATTCGAACTCACGACTTCCCGATCACGGAGCGAGCGCTCTACCGACTGAGCAACCGTGAACGGTAAAGTACTTTTGATAAAAATGCTATTAAAATGTTCTTAAAGGCAGAGATTTTAAGCACCGCCTTCAAAAAATCCTGGTCTGTGTACCTCTGTCAATCAAGTGCATTAAGGTACATCATTGGGTGCTAGAACTTGATTGACATTTACTTCCTAGTCCCTGTGTATACCCTGTACACATTGTTTGGCACTCGTGGTGACGTCAAATTAACTTTTGATCCTTTGAGATTTACCACACATGGTATAATCAATAGAGAAACTGTATTACTATGGGATTTTTAGCTTGATAATATATACATACAAACCTTAGTACTTGAAATAATTATGATATTCTTTATGATAATATATATCAAAAATAAGTATAACTTTCTTTCAAAGCCCAACAAATACTTTAAATAATATTATTTTAATGGGTGGAGATGCTTTTTGACACACATTCAATTACAAATTAATAAAAAATTATTGACATTAAACTTTATTTCCAACTTTTTATTTCTAATTTAAAATCATCTCAAAAAAGTAAAAAAAAAAGTATAAAAAAAAAAAGGGAAAGTTTGACTTCTTGGGTATTCTACTGTGTATTAAATCACTTCCTGTGTATAGAGATTGGGAGACAAACGACCACAGGTAGACTTCTAGCCCTCAAGGCATTCACACCTGTACAAAATAAGCCCCTCCCTCACCTGGAATTTACCACCCGGTAAAAAATCTCTGCCTCTAATTAGAAAATATAACATGTTATATATGTGTATTGCGTGTAAGTAAACTCCTAATGTTTCTTAAGTTTGTCTATTGGCATAGAGATCATGTATAATGAACTGCAGTACTTAACACATAACAAATATACTGATCCTAACAAACTGCTGCTAAATACTACATGTAATAGAAATTTAGAACATTGATCTCATTTGTTTGCAATAGCAAAATATTCCAGAACAAATAACTTTAGTACGGCTAGAAAAAAAAATGTTTGGATGTTGAAATATTAAACATTTACACAAATATTAAGGTTCTATATAAACCGAATCACGAAATGAAATATACAAAGTGGTCTTGTTTGCTTTTTAATGCAAACAAAAGTCTATACTGACACTCTGGTGCTGTATATTTATTATACAACAAGATGACTTATGAATATTTACACAAATAAACACGCTGGAAATATAAGAAAGATTAATCGACGCATTGCAGGTCAACGATACCTTACCAAATTATTGTTTCAAATAAAGAATGGAACTTAATTAAACTAAATATGGTGAACGTAATGGACATCGATCAATCTTAAAAATCATATTAAATATATACGAAGTGTGAACAGGGGAAAAAACCACCGGACCTTGGAAACATCAGAGGTGGGATCAGGTGCATTGGAGGAGTAAGCATTCCCTGTCGACCGGTCACGCCCATCGTGAACACTCTGTATTGATCAGTTAAACAGAGTAATCTGCTTTCATTCAAAATAAGTAAAAAAACTAATAGTCTTACATATATGCATATCATCTACATGTATTAATATAAAAAAGTTAATGTGCATTAATTTTCAGTAAGCAAGAAATCGTTATATTAGACCCGGAATAGTCCATTTCTACTATCAGAGGTGAAATAGGATAAATACTCGTCCATTATTTAATGAAGATGTTAAAATATGATTAACCTTCAAAGGACATTGTAAAATATAATTAAATTTAATGAAGTGATTACCTACGAGTAGCTTTAAATTTGATAGATTCAAGCCATTATTTTAAACTTAAGTTGAAACCATGTAACCTTAAGCTTATCTAAGACACCAGCTGAAATAAATCAAAATCATTATATAAGACAATGGGTACACACAAATAAACCTTTAAGTTATTATAAAAGATTTGAGGAAAAGAAGTAAACCCTGAATAGTTATCAAAGACAAGACAAGAAATGAAAGAAACCCTTAGCACGTGTTAATACTAAAGCAAAATAAGATAAAACCTGTAGGCCTAAAGTAACTGAAATACATTCATAGTCAGTATCCAAGCCTAAGTTAGGGTCGATTTAAGATAAATACCTAAACGTTAAGAAAGCCATAAGCTAAAATAAACTCTAAACATAAATCTTCAGTCATTTTATGAGCTGAGGCTGAAATAAACAGTCAGTCATTAACACTAGAGATGAAATTTTTACTGAAGTTTCACCTGTATTTCCTTTACTTCAGCAAATATCTTTTATTTTATAGTCAGAATTGATCCTTGTTTGGGTATTACTACTCTTAATACGTTTTATGTGCATTTTTTAAAGAATAAAATGTCTTCCCTATGCGGGTTATAGATTTTTTCTGTAACAGCTGCAACATGAATTCCGTACTAACAAAGAAAGAAAGATATTTTATTGTTTATATTTATATCTGTACATTGTATAAATAATCATAAAGTAGGATTAAGTACGTTGAATATTATACTATTGAAATGTACAACATTGTATGTTTCGTTGATGGAACAGCCGCTGCTCAAGAAATCTATACATGTAGTTTGCTTATTGGCGTTTACTGACTGATTAACAACCATGGTTTTCATATGAAATAAAGGAGATAATATTTAGTGGATGTAAATATATATATTTTTGAACCTTTTATTATTTTCTCTTAGCCTATGCATGTGACAGCCATTTGGTGAAGAATGTAGCTGACGATAAACTAACTGCATCTAGTATCTTCAGCAAAAAGTATCCTGCCTTTAAAGCCAGACTGTCTAATGCAGAAGGCTGGAGTCCTCTGCCATCACAGAAAAATCCATGGATACAGGTTCATGTTTATTTTCTGATACAGAAAGGTTGTTTGAATATTTGGATTAAAATTAGATGCTTCTTTGGGTGAATTCAAAGTCAACGTCATTATTCAGTCTGTATAAAAAGCAAGAAAAATATTTTAACAGATCATCTTTATTTGGTTGAAATATTGTAGAGACCAACCTACTATTGCTGATGAAGCATACCCACACTGATTCAAATTTAAAGCTAGAAATGAAGATCAAGAATCACTGCCTTGTCCCCTCCTTTTCAATTCTGAGAAAGAAAAATATAATATCGTTTCATAGATTTTAGTAATATTGTATGTGAACCTATTTTTTCCAGAGGATATCACTCACTGGATAAACTTTTCAAAGATTCCGATGCCAGTCGATTATTATAAACGCATACATAAATAAAATATAGAGATAAGGAACAGTAATCAAGGTCAAAAATCCATTGAAACAATATAAATCGGGAGCAGAACAAACACGGAGCATCTAAATACATCAGAGGTGGGATCAGGTGCCATGCAGGAGGAAGCATCTCCTGTCGACCTGTCACATCCGCCGTGTGTTCATTGTCATGATTGGACAAATGGAAAAATCCGTAGTCGATTCAGTGTTTAAATAATACTAAGTAGTATAAAAAGGACAGTCAGCATTCCATTTAATGATTAATTGTAATTACTGACAAGGTCATTGTATCGACCATGGAACTTGCGAAATGATGACTTTAAACGAGGCTGTTGATATTCTTGTTTCTTCAATTTGTTTGTCCATAGCTTGCCTCGTTACATAAACAATTCTGTATGCAGTTGCAAATGATTAAAATCATGACCTCGAATTCTCACAACCCTTCTGTATAAATTCCCTGCCAAAATGATGTAAAAAATAATGCAAATCTATGTTTCACAGGTCGACTTTGGAAGAGAAATGATGATCATAGCGGTGCTAACAAAAGGAATGGGAGGATTAAGAGAATGGGTGAAAAAATTCCAAGTCAAATACAGCAACACAAATTTATCATGGACAATAGTGCAGAATGGTTCTTCAAATGTAAGTCAAAAGTACAAGCCTACACTCCCTTAGCTCTTATTATCCACTAGGTTAGATAAAAGAAGTCGTTGCCTTTCAATAAAAAGACGATTCATAAATTCTTCAAATTAGTTCAGTTTCGGTCATGTGGAATAATTTTTATAACAAATATGAAAATATTGATGAAACATTTAACGTTTCCAACAGTAGTCAATACAATTCCACTGCTAACATTCAGAATAAATCATATTAAGATTTACTTTGGAGAATATACACGTACAATATGCTAGAACTAGAGAGTTGAATTTTAGGATGTTTTTCCTCACACTATCTGTCCACAAAAATAAAAAAAATACAGCTTTAATAGATTTTTGAAAAAAATGTCCTAATTCCACAAAAAAGTTCTTGATTAACAATCACAGTAATATAAAAAAATAATAAGACATTGATTTGCTGTCGCAAATTTACCAAAGTGTATAAGAAATCTAGGAATATTTTGTCAAAAAGGGTCCTGCGGAATTCATTTTTGATCAGCAACTAAATTCTATACAGTACTCTACCAAATGAGCGTCATATAAGTTATAAAAACCTGGAACATACACATTTTATGGATATACAGTAAAAAATATATATAACTCTCAGAAAAAGGCATCATCTTACAAAACTCAAACATATTTTTTAACTCCTCTATAACCAATAATGCATTCAACTACCAGATATTTCAAGGAGAAAAAAAGAGATGAAAACAAAAGAGTTTTTTCAAAAAGTTACACGGAATCATATGCAACAAGGTTTTATTTCAAAATAGTGCACAAAACTCTTTGGATTGGACCAAAAAGCTAGAGGTTTGATAAAAACATATTTCATAGCCTTGCATATTTCTACTGTGGACAAAATATGTCATTGTTTATGATGCATTTTAACACTTATAGAAGAGTCGTCCTCCTTAATATTATAATGAACTAAACAGAAATTTATTCCTATGTTCACGCCACATATTGTCGCCAATTTCGTCAATTTGATACGGTGACATACTTAACATTAAAGCTGAACACGTTTCGTAAAAGACAGAAATCTATGTTTGTCCGCCATATTATTCTGCATTTACCGATACCTGGACGCCCCTATATAAGCCATTCACTTGGTCACGGTTCAGTGCAATCATTTTCCCTGTATGGATGGACGTATTCTACATAGGCTATTGTTAAACTCTCGTAAGCGACAAAAATTACTACTGAAAATCATTTTTTATTGGCGAGAACTTTATTTTCGCGTAATTACACATTCTCACGTAAATTTGTATTGGAAAGATTATATACAACAAGAACCATAGCTCGCGAAAATTCTGTCTCGCTTCTAAATACCAAATAGCTATCTCGCAAAAATAAGGTGTCACGAAAATATAGTGATCTACAGTATGTGCTTTATCCAAGGCAGAAGAGAAAATTACCAAAGAAACTTACAATTATCTGTAATATAAGATTCGAAATATAAAAGATAGAGAAACCTTGTTATCTATTAATGTAAAGGCTCTGGATCATTTTTACTTTCGCGAATTAATTATTACAGTAACATTTTAAAATAATACAGTTTGTAATTACAAATATTTTTATGCAATATTTGGATTTTTTCTGGAAAACAGAGAACAAGCGATTTTATGAAGTAGCGATATGAAAATATGGCAGATAAAGTTTGTGTTCTCCGTGAAAGGAAGATATAAATTGATAAAATGAGGGATAAGACTGAATTTGGAATTTGTATCCTTAAAGAAATGGAAAAAAAAGTATTAAACTCGATTGCTAAATAGAAATTATAATAGCACGAGAAAAATTTATAATTATTGAAAAATATTTCATTTCGTCTCCTAATAATCAATATTTGAAACAAACAATTTCAGATCCTTGATGACCAACTTTCAGGAATCATATGTTGAAGTGACAGTCTTTCTCATTATTATTACGAATCATTGTTTGTCCAAAATCAATAAACAATAATAATTTTCAATGAGTGATTTAATTCTTTTAATGTTCTTTTCTTTTATATTGATTCAGTGTCAAAGTTCTAACATTCAAGATGGAATTCTACAAGGTATAATTATGCACCTCCAACTACCTATAATCGTTATTATGGATTTCAAGTTCACATTCTCAGTCACAACTAACAATGCTGTTACAAATTCAAAACGAGAAAATATTGGTTTCGGACACTCACTAATGCTGGCACCTGTGAAATGGTTTGTCAAATTTGTATTTTTTCTAAAACAGCAAAATAGAAATCAATTTTCATACAGCAAATTTATCAATTAGTTAAGCGTCTAAATTCCTTTCATACCCAAAAAGTGCTCAACATCAAAGCATTACATATAAACTACTGTTTACATCGTGTTTTTCATGTACTCACTTTCGAATAACGCATAAAGGGCTAGAAGACTAATTGGACAGGTTAGAGGATATCTAACTTTAATAAAACGTTATTTAATACTAAGGAGGCAAACAATGTACTTTGAATAAACAATTTCCAAGGAAGTTGCCAATAACTAGCAAAACCATTTTGTAGGTGCTACAACCGGTTTCTGTAAAAAAGGCGACTATTTAGTTCTGTAAATATGAAAACCAGTTTACATCTATGAGACTATTGGTTTCTGTAACTAATACGAGAAAAATATGAAATTAACATTTGTGTTATAAGGGATCATAGTGTTTATAGCTTATAGTCATTTTGGTCATTTCTTCAAGCAATTTACAGATATTGTTGTTTTTTTTTTACCAAAATTATTTAGTTACACGGTAAAAACGAGCCAGACGATGACACCAAATTATCCAAAATCAAACATATGCAAGTGCGTATCAACGAATATTGTGATAGCTGTAATTTTTCGTCCAAGTAGCGATCAAGCTTTTTTAAAAGAAAAAAGAATTTATAATGAAGATATTTTTCCTTGCAAAACATGTTTATTCAGAACACTGTTTGCTTCTTGTGTTGAATTGCACTTAATTAAAGCTAGATTTATCCACTAACATGTCCAATAAGTAGGCTGCATCTGGTCTCTATATGGCAATCAAATATGAGAACACTATGCTGAAATATTCCATACAAGTTCATTATCGGAATTTAGTATCTGTCCACGACAAAGGAAGAAAATGTGTTAGGGGGACTTACAAAAACCTGGTTCCCAGAACGCCACTTACATTTCAGGCAGTACCATAACCATCTTCTGGAAGATGACCGGGGATGCCCGGTAAATGTGCAATAAGGTTTCGGAATTTTTAGGATTCAAATGGGGGTCGAAAATGACGTTTTTCTACTAAGACCTGGTTCCCAGAACTTCTCTTAAATTTTACGCAATAACCTAAAAATCTTTTGGGAGATGGTTGGTGGTGTCCTTTAGATGTGCAATTAGGTTTTTAGAATCTTCATTTTCAAGTTTGGTCAAATTATGATCCCCAGGGGTTTGGAGCACATTAGAGAGTCAAAGTTTTTGCAGAAGAATATATAGGATTCATCTTGAAAAATCTACTGCTCAAGAACAGCAAAGCCATGATTAGTCATATTATTATAGAAGCATCCTCGGGTAGTGTAGACTCATATTTGTTCAAATTTACGGTGGATAGGGTGGGGCCACAATGAGCAATCAAAGTTTTACATAGGAATACATAGGGAAAAAAATCTTTGAAATTCTTCTGTTAAAGAACAGCAAAGCCATGCATAGTAATATTGAGATAGATGCATCCTGAGGTAGTGTAAATTTAAGTTTACCCTCCCTCCCTTAAAACTTTTCAATACTGAACTGATCTCTGCTTCTTCCAAGCCAGTGTGCTCCGGTGAGCAATGTGGCCCATGTTTTATTTACACCCTCGGGATCAAATGGGAGTGGAGAGAGAGAGAGAGAAAGAGAGAGAGAGAGAAAGAGAGCAAAGAAATTCACTTTTATAAGGATAACCACTTCTGTCCCAACCAGGGGATGAACTCTCGACCTACTCGACCTGCGGAAATTATCTCTTAGCAGTACAGGAACAGCGCGCTAGACCGCTCGGCCATCTAGGCAAGTCCAAAAACTTGCTTTGTCGATGGAATTCTCGCGGAGCTGTCCTATACCACACGGTCATTGTGAATGGAAGTGACGTTATTTGAACATTTGTTTTATAAGAGGATCGTTACCGATACATATTGTAATGAATTAATTTTATTTTAAAGCACGTTTTACAAAAAGGTTACTTTTGATCTCAGTCTCACTTTCATCTATTAATTCCTGAGACTAAGATCAAAAGTAAGTCTAAGTTTTATGTTCCCGGAGCCAGTTCTGTCGATCAAAGGACTTCCTAGAGTATAATGTCTGAACTCTCCTGTAAAAAATCAACAATAGATAAAAGTTCTCCTGTTGTACAATACTTTCTTTTGAGATTATTTCCATGAGTGGGTCTTCACTCCATTTTTTGAGAGATAATACCCAAAGAATGCATTTTTCTATATACAAAACATGGAGGAAAGACCCACCATACCTTAAACAATACATTTCTATGACACAACATTCGTATTTTTCTGAAAAATATAAGATTACAACACTTTTTTGAAATCAGTAGAATGATACTCGTGATGACTTTAACTTTTCAATCGTCAACTTCCCTTACTTATGCTCTTATAAACCCTTATCACCTGCATATAGAGTGTATATCTCTCATTTAACTGTTCTACTTATGAACAGTTTCTGAAACGAGGTAAGTTATTGACAAACAAGTTGATGAAACAAGAATATCAACAGTCTCGTTTAAAGTCATCATTTCTTAAGTTCTATGGTCGATACAATGACCTTGTCAGTGAATACAATCTATCATTAAATCATATGCTGATTAACGTTTTTCATATTAATTGTTAGGCCATTATTTACACACTGAATTGTTGACGGGGTTTTCTATTATTTCCCGATCATGACAAAGAGTACACGGCGGATGTGACCGGTCGGCAGGGGATGCTCACTCCTCCATTGGCACCTGATCCCACCTCTGATGTTTTTGTTTTTGCTCTGCACCCGATTTGTATTGTTTTAATGGACGTTGAGCTTGAATACAGTTCGTTATCTCCATATTTCATTGCTCAGAATTTTAGATTGTCCTATTTGAATAATGGAAGCACATGGCATACTTTTTTCAGCTGATCTTCAGAATCAGAACCTAAGACTAAGACATAACCAGGACTGGTTCCTGACTATTGACAGTTTTAATGCCGATTTATTTTATGAATTTCACAGACTATTTCAAAGTCTATCGTACTCAAATAAAGATTTTGCTAGAAGCGTTGTGTTTATCATCATTATGCAAAGTAATGTTCCAATACGCTGCTTGCATGTCAAGGTTACTGTATACAGAATAATTTTTCCCTAATTATTTTTGCCTGCTCGTACTTGAAAGCAATTTTACTGTTTTTATGCGCCCAGATACAGTTGTGTTAAAGCGATAATTCCGTTTTTTAATTCCCCCGTTTCGAATTCACGCTCTTGCGACGAGAGCGAAAATAAAACGGATGCAAAAATTTCTCTTTTTCTAGTACTTAAAATTCTCCTCCATCAATTGTATCTATATTGTTATTGATCTGACGTAAAATAAGAGCGTCTTTTGGGCTCAAAAATCTGTACAATATTGTTTATTGCCATAATTTTTATAACAACGATCCGAACCCTAACTGATGAAGAGTTCAAAAATACCCTCTAAAAGCAGATCTATTTTTTAATTTTTATGAAGCAGATTTTTTTCATAAACTTCTACATGAAAAGCAGAATTCTCCATCTTCTCACTTCGTAGCAATTTTACCCGTGCCTCAGTCTGACAGATTCTTTGATGCACTCTATACCTCGGTAATTAATTACACACTTGTACATAGCCGTATTCTACACTTCTCCACGAGAGAAATTCCGGTGCTGACAATCTTTATCTATATTCATTCCCCCATCCCTTTTCCATTCAGTTTGAGGTTTCATGTTTTGCAATTTTCAGTTTTTACGAAAATTTGACCAAGAAGCATAATAATTTTGCATTCCAAGTCATCCTTTTTCAAAATTATAGATCTTCATGTATAAGTATGAGCAATTTGACTAATAGTTTGCATTGATTAAATGTGAGATGTGATTTTTTAAGAGGTGCTTTTTCCTACCTCATAAATTACCCAACTGTTTATAATGTTCTGTTCTGCAAGATGCGAGTAATTGTTATACAATAATAGCTGACGGTTGATTAAAATGCACCAGTTGCTCTCTGCACATCCTAGTGATACTAGCTCAAACATAACGCCGTAAACGACAATTATTCAATATTATCTAAGGATATGTTACTCCCACATACCATGTTAACTTGTCTGGACAAAATTTACAAAATAAAAAGATATTCGATACTGAAAGTAGACAAAACTATATTACAAATATGAATAGTTCAACAGACTATCGACAGAAAGAACAAAACCACTGATCTATTATTCATAAGATGAATGTTTATTTTGCTAAAATTTTGAATGCCGTTTTCTTCAGTTATGAAGTACACTGTAAAGACAAACATTGAGGTCATTTTTATTAATTAGTTATTACAGAACAGTATTCTCCTATAATTAAAAAGTCTCATTTTTACGACTCTTATTTAAACTGAAAATTAAACAATTAAAGGTTGTAAATGTCAATCTGATTTTATATAGTACATAAACTAACTTATACATACATTCGATAGTTTTCACATTTTAATTTGCAGGAATTCAACGCAAATACTGACTCAACAAGTTTGGTAAGGAATGAACTTCCATTCGAAGTTAAATCTCGTTATCTACGACTCTATCCTATGGACTGTCATAACTACTGCAGCCTGCGATTTGATTTCATTGGATGTGAAGGTAATAACAGGGTCTTGAATCAAATTAACACACTTATGGCTGGATTAATTACTGGATATAGTTTTAATAATGAGAGATTTTGTGTGTGTCTGTTTGTGTGTGTGTGGTGTTTAATCACACTTTACAATAACAGTGCCTTTTCACGCCTCCATGTTCTCCATACACGTTTCTGACTTCTAAACAACATGGAGGACCATATAGATCTCTTATTAATAAAAAAAAAAATGATCTCGGAAATGAAGACACCACAGGGTCTGCCACATCTCTTTCAAATATGGATGTTTTACTGACTAAAGACGATATGGGCCAACAATAACAACCGAGATGACTTAGGTTTTCCATCGTCAACTTTCCCTATTTATGTAGCAATATTCCGCGATCACCTGCAAATGGTGTTAATGTCTCCCAATTTATTTAATATTCAATAGCATGCACTGAATACGATCAATTTTCAAACCGAGACAGGATACTGACAGATAAGTTTATGTAACAGGATTTCAATAACCTTGTTAAAGTTTCCATTTCGTAAAAAAATGATAATAATAATTATATATATAATATAATATAATAACCTAACATTGGGTTGTTGTTTGACTGACATATTTCATCCCAAATGTTAGAACTTGTCTTATGCTAAATTTGACTACAGAAAATTCTATTTACCTGATCAATACATAGGGCTCACAGCGGGTGTGCTTTGTTGACAGATGCTTACTCCTCCTAGGCACCTGATCCCATGTCTGTAATTTCCAGAGGTCCGTTTTATTTAGACCGATTGCTGTTCGTTATTTTCACTTTTTTCATTATAATATACCCTTATCACGGAAGGATATGTTTTTATTTTAGTGACAAAATCGGAAACTGAAATTACATCATCAATTACTCCAACAGCAGCGAAAACAACAACAACCAAAGCAGCAACAGCAATAGCAGCTACAGTATCGACAACTACCTCGACAGACGAAGTCGATAAAGTAACAGCTACGTCGACACAATTTCTTACATCGACACATTCTCCAGATTCAAGTACCATTATGTCGACATCTCATTGTCCGTGTGAATGTGTCAACGAACATCACTCTACTTTAACAAAGGCAGAACTCCGCGCCAGATTAGTTGGTATCGTACAGAACCTAACAGTTTCTAAGAAAACAACGTCTTTCTACAAAAGAAGTAAAATTTCTGCACAAGATAACAGACCGCAAGTATTGTACGTGGGATCTATAGGGATAGCTATTTTGTTTATAATTGTTAATTTAATTGTTCTACCGGACTTGTTTAAATTATTTCATTATTTATATCAAATGCGTAATTTATGAAGAAATGGTTGAAAATGCTGCATATTTTGATTAATCAAAAAATCAAAGTGGTTCGTAAAGCCGAAAAGACCTAATTCATATTTTAAAAATCTTTCTTTAAAAAAGTTTCGTAGATAATTAATTCATTTGATTACGTATCTAGCAAATCTAATAAAGAAAGATATACCAGTGTTATCATTTTATGTCAGTATGTTTCTTCTAAGTATAGGGAGAATATTAACATTTTTATTTTTAAAAATCCCAACATTCGTATTCACAAACAAAAATAACGTTAGATCCAAATGGAAAATAATTTTAAGTGTGAAGCGATGCTTACATTTTCAGAAAGTCGCCCGCGTGGCGCAGTGGTTAGAGCGTCTGTTCTAGAGTCGCGAAGTAAGGAGTTGATCCTTATGTCGCGGGTTCGAATCCCACTGTGGGACGTGGATACCGGTCCTTCGGATGAGACCGTATAAACCGAGGTCCCGTGTCGCATTAGGTGCTGGCACGATAAAGATCCCTCACTGCTCAATGGCCGTAAGTGCCGAGCATAGGACAAAATTTGCAGCCCTCCACTGGCAAGTGGTGGCGTCTCCATATGAGTGAAAAATTCTCGAGAGGGACGTTAAACAACATACAAACAAACAAACAAACAAAACATTTTCAGAAATGAATATTATTAAAGCCTGGCAGAACAATTTCTCGGATAATGTTTTATCATTTTTTTTTTAAAATTTTCTCTCTTATCAGAGGGCCATTACACCATTAATATTGTCCAGAGAACGAAGGCGCATTTGATTCGCATTCGGCAAGAATCTGGGCTCACTTGTGAAGTAAAAAATAAATTGATCTGTCATATGAAAGTTTAGGACTGTTTTGATGTATCGTATTCCTGTGAAAAAGGCAAGGAAATATTTTCCCGATATTGTGTTTTGATTTGCTTATTATTAAGAAATATGGCTAGACGAGTCATTTTGCAAAATATCAAATGCTATATCTGGTCATCTTTCCACAATTTAAAAAAATCATTTGTATGCATTTTAATTCAAAGAAATGAGCAAACATTTGTAAAAATGGAGAGAAGATCTAGGACTATAAAAAAAATCAACTTTTGCCCCAAAAAATCGTATTGTATTAATGTTATTATCGGAATTAAACCCTCGTTTTTTGTGTAGGGTTGATAGGTCAATAGTATGCGTAACCAGTCTAGGGCACTGGGGTATGGAGAAGTCTTTGGTTCGATCCTTGCAACGTTTTCTTACAATCATGTCTTTTGTCAATTTAATTTTATTTACTGATTTAAATTTTAAAATCGATAAATTTTGGTTACGTTGCAAAGAGAGCAGAGCTAAAGAAATTCTTCCAACTTATTGAAACTTTAATTTAATTGCATATAACTACATTTGTATATCCTTTTATTTTATAGGTGTTAATTATTTATGTTGTGTTACTACATGTATATTATCGTGACTATTAAGATAAGCGGACTTAAACATTACAATTTAACAAGATTTTAATGTATCAGTAAACATTTTCCTTTGTGCATAACTTTGTAAAGCCTGTCCTGTTGTGGTCAGCCGACAATCCATTTTCAAAGTGGGGGAGGGAGCAGGAAGGACATTAGAATATTAGATGTACTCTCCATAATATCAGCATTGCTACAATCCCATACCTCACAAGCATATAACTATTATTAGATCAACTATCTCACCAAACAAATACAATTGATCATCTAAAGAAAGGTTTAATTACTCATCTTTTCCCATATACCGTACATAACTGAAGTTTGGTTCCATACTGTTTTGTCTTAATAAATGTAGTAAAAAAATCACATGGTGTACTTCCTTTCAAGAAAGTTTCCATTTTTCACAATACAGTAAAAACTGTTTAAGTAATTCTATAAATGAATGAGAGTGGAATGAGAGACGCAAAATATGTGTAGGCGTGGCCACATCTTGAAGCTCAATCTACATATTTAACATTTTATAGAAAAACATATTCTTGTAGAGTCCTTTGTAAGTTGAATAGCAAGAAACAATTATGGAAGTATGACAGGTGAACTCCGTCACTACTAAACATTTCTTTTGAATCCCAAGTAATCTCTGGGTATTTGATAAAGAACCCACCATTGACAGTGACTAAATGATTCATAAAATTATTGAGTCTGACAGTAGCAAGATTTTGCGCTTTCGAGTTTGAACTAAAACGCCATGAAATTCTTGGCAACATATTTGACCAACCAAGAGTTGTTTTAGGGAGTAGTTGTTTAAGTTTCTTGAGTGTTGAACACATAATGGACCGTAGTTGCAATAATGAAATTTTACCTGTATCATTACCTACACAATGAATAATTAAAATATCTGGTGGAGATTCATACCTTAACAAAAGCTTTATTTTTGGAACAAGTTCAAACCATTTCAAACCTCCCTTCCCTGCCAAAAAATTCTGTAGTTTCTTCGTCTTAAACCTAAAACCACACCATCTAAGGATTTTCTTGCATAGTAGAATGCCCACTTAATAATTGAAGAACCAACAATCCAAATAACCTTTTCACTTCCTATATAAAAATATGAAAAATCAATTGAGGACATCACTTAATCCTAATATACCTTTTGAACGCATTCGAACTCCTTCTACTTTGCTTTTTTTTTTATTTCTGTTTCCGAATGACCGTAAGAGAAACTATCTGACGCGACCCCAATACGGAAAGAGTGAGATTTGTATCGTGAGTTTGGAAGGCCGGCTACTTCAAGTCTTATTGAATACCAAAATTGAAACCTTGTAAAAGGACTACCGTCCATATGTATAAATAATTGGCTGTCAAATTTTGGCCTTGTAGCGATGTACTTTTTCAACCACTCAACTGGACAGATAGAATTCTTTGTTTGTTGCAAAAATACGGATGTCCCTTTCCCAAGTTGGTCAGTTTTTGAGAAGGAAACTCTAAGCTCTATGAAACTTTCCCCAGAATCTTCATTTTTTCTAAACTTTATATGTTTGCGAGAAATAATTGGATTTGCTTGATTTGAACAATTACAAGTAAATTCACCGACTCTAAGAAAAGCATGATAAGCTACTTAAAATGCTGTTGAAAAAAGAATGGCCTCAAAGTTTGACGAACAAACTAAAGATGTTGTTTTTCAAGAATGTGTTTTGTGATAGGAAGTTTACAATCTTTTGAGTGGTTTGACCTTTTGATTCCTTCCAATGATTTTTTAATCAAAAAAAAATTTTTGTGTTGTCACAGAATCCCAATATTTTGTATTTGAAACTTATTCCTGATATATAGGATGAAATGGAAGCATGAGTCAAACCTTGCGGGGATAAATGCGCGATAAACATACAAATGTGTGGTACAGGTGGGGGTCAAATAGAACGCAGTTCATACAAAATTCTAAACGCTCAAAACTTCTTAGACTAGTGGAGTATGTTTGTGTTGTATTTAATGATACCGAATAAAGCGTCAGGCGTTTAATTTCAGCTCCAAGATCATTTTTATAAAATCTTCTGGAATAGGTGTCGGGTGTTGATGGGATTTGGGGGCGAGAACACGAAATTTGGTCCACTGTTTGCGAGAAATAGAATCAGCTATAGCATTGTTATAACCATCTATATGACAAGCTTTAAAGTAAATATTGTTTACCATAGATTGCAAAACCAATGGCCTAACCAATTCCATAACCCGAGGTGATCTTGATGATTTTTTAAAATGGAAATTAAAGCTTTATTGTCAGTGTAAAGCAATATATTCTTGTCGAGGAATTCATTCTTAAATAATAAAATTGCAAGGACAATATATCTGGGTTCTTCCAGCTATCCGGCCAACCAAAATATGCCCATTGCCCATGAAGGTAAACACCGCATCCTAAATGTTGATTGTCTGCACTATCAGTGTATAGATGAAGATGGTCATTAGACTACCAATTAACATTTATGAAATTTAAACTACCATTGAACCTGTGTGTAAAATCTAGCCACACACGAAGGTTGGATTTCATTCCCTTTGCTACCCTAATGAAATGAATATTTTATTCCACACATTATATCACAAAATCTTCTGTTGAAGGCCCTAGCATATGGAATAGCTTTAGCACAAAAATTTAGGGAACCTTCTAAAGATAGTAATTCTCTCAGTGTAAATTCTGTTTTTTGTAACATATCTAGCAGAGAATTCTCCAGATCGATAATTTTTTCTTCAGAAATTCTTATGACCATATTATCTGTATCAATTTCTATACCCAAGAATGTAAGACCTGTTTTTGGACCTTCTGTTTTCTCTTCTGCAAGAGGGATACCAAAATCAGAGCAGGTACTTTTGAATGAAAACATCAACAAGTTACATATTTCTAACGTGCCTCCAGCAAATATGAAATCATCTAAGTAATGGTCCATGTGTGAACTCCAGTTTTTACTTCTACTACCCACTGAATAAAATGTGCAATTTTTTTCCCATAAAGCACAACTAATTAAACAACCCATTGGTAGACACATATCATAAAAATATTGATCATTAAATTTGAAACCAAGTAATTGATGGTCAGAAGGGTAAACCGGAAGTAATTTAAATGTTGATTTAACGTCTATTTTTTTCCAAAATAGTCCCTTTTCCCAGTGCCTCTATCATGTCTCAAAAGAAGTGTAATGAACAGAACAAGATCCAAGGTCAATGAAATCATTAACACTAAAATTGAAAGGATATGAAAGATGGTGGATGAGACGCCAACCCCCATCCTTTTTTGCTACGACCCCAATAGGTGATAGCCTTAAATTAGATCAAGGTTCGTGTTTGAAAGGGCCTGGTATGCGATCTAAAGAAATTTCCTTGTCAATTTTTGCCTTTACCTCTTTAGGGTGATCGTTCACAGAAACTAAATTATTACAGGTTGTTGACACTCTTACACCTTCATAATGCAGATAAAAACCTAATGCAAAACCGTTCTTTAATTCATTAGCTATAGTTTGATTTGGAAAAATTGCCAGGTAAGGACACATATTGTTCAAGTTAATTGGAGTTAAGCCTGTTCTTACGAAGGAACCTGTTGGATATTTGCTGCCTGACTGACGAAAAACTGAGAAGGGAGCTTGAAAAGCCCTTGAGGATGATATCCTCTGTACAGCTTGTTTATCAAGACAATGAATAGCAGGATGTTTGTTTTGACACTTTAGACAATGGTGTTGATATTGACAATTTTGTATGCGACAAGAGCCTTTGTTCTTGTACTCTTAACAAAATTTTGAGTTGCCTTGAGAATTCTTATATACTGACTGAGTATTTGAGGTCAAAAGAAGCCATAGCTCTGGGTCAATTTTGTCCCAGGAAGTACTGTTATCTTTGGCTCTTTTTAATCAAAATTGTCGGTCATATTCTTTCCAACCTAATCCACCAGAAACTCGACTGGCACCGAGTTTTACATCAGTCATATATTTGATAAGACTGATTGATTGATTGATTGAATGTTGTTTAATGTCCCTCTCGAGAATTTTTCACTCGTATGGAGACGCCACCACTTGCCGATGGAGAGCTGCAAATTTTGTCCTATACTAGCAACTACAGCCATTGAGCAGTGAGGGATCTTTTTCGTGCCAGCACCTACTGCGACACGGGACCTCGGTTTATACGGTCTCATCCGAATGACCGGTGTCCACGTCCCACCCGCGACGTAAGGATCAACTCCTTACTTCGCGACTCTAGAGCAGACGCTCTAACAACTGCGCCACGCGGGCGACTTTGACAAGACTGTGAGTTTGATAAATACGTGCTGACAAATATATACTCATATAAATAAAAAATGCATCCAGCCAAGCTTTAATTGTTGTAATTTTGATTGTATTTGCAGGTTTTAATGTAAGTTGACCATTCGTAAATAGAACTCTACTTTCCTGTATTTCAATATCTGTTTGCTTATTTAAAAGTGTATGTAGTTCCACAAATTCCCCTTCCATGATTTTTTGTCTAACTGATTGTGTAACATGCAAACCTAGATCGTCATTTACACCGGTTATGCTCTGAGGTGATGAACATGAAGAGGAAATTGTATCAAAACAAACGACTTGATCTGAATCTGTTAAATTTGGTACATTTGTAGTTGATGTACTATAAAAGACTTTGCTACCATCAGTCGACGATGTGTCAAGACGTTGAGAAATAGGCTAATCGTCTCTATCGTTTTATTGATTTCCGGCAGCATTTTTTCGGCAACTGATGAAACAACTTCCTCTAGATCAGGCATTGACTCCTTGTTTGTTACAGGATCTGTTTCTTGAGATGGCTCTGGGTTCTTTTCTCTCTGTGTTTGACATCTTTTCTTAACGCCCGGTCTTCTAGCTTTCCTGTGAATTTGCGTTTTGCATTAGATGACCTTCCCCCTTCGTCAGTGGAATGCGACTGTTGTCGAGGTTGCATATTCTCTCAATCCAACTGTAACAAATATTGTGACGTCAAACATAAACAGCGATAATGTCATCTACAGCAGTGCATTACGCGCACATATCTAAGGCGCGGATCTCAGGCACAGCAGTAACCATCGCTATAATATTTGGATTTAATTCGTAAAGGAAATAAATCTTATTATCTATGTAGATTGTACCTTAAGTAATCATAAGAAACAAATTTTAGCTAGCTATAGATTAAGTACTTCACAAATCATAAATTACCACTTGAAACTGGAAGATAGGAAGGGATACTGAAAGAGAAGAAATATGCCTTTTGTGTAAAAACGACATATATTTTATGTTGTAACAAGTTAAAACATGAAAGAAAATTGTAAATTCCCTAATATTATATGTCATCGTAAATCTGTGTCAACCGGAAGTGTCATGGACTGAATACGAAAACCAATCAGTGGTTCGACTTCTATACGATACAAGTAGAGCTTTTTCAAAAAGCTTACCGTCTTTAGCAACAACCTTTAAACAGTAAACTGACCTAAACCTATCAGGCCGTATAATTCTTGAAAATTTCTTGGCTTTGTATTTCTTCATTAGTTTTTTTTTCTGACATAAGCCCTATTAAGTGAAAAGTTAACAGATGCTCGACTGTCTCTGTAAACTTCAACTCTGCAGCCGAGATCATTCGGCAAACCTCGGCTGATTCCGTCACCTTTGTGATATGTAAGATGAAGTACATGTACATGTACGAATCAGCCGAGGTGTTACCGAGTGCTACCGAGATAGAAAGACAATGCAAAGGGGAAAAGAATAAGTACAAGCTGTAAAGCTTGCATGCAATAAGGATCAATTCTGTTAACAATGAAAATATAGAAACTTTTTTTTTGGGGTAATTGCTGTAAAAAAAAAAAAAAAAAACTAGCATGTTAATTACTCCCAATTTCCACTGTTCGTTTTGTCATATTTTTTTACGATTGAAAATCTTGAAAAATTGTTAAGTCGTACGAAAATTAGAGCATCAGAAAATTATCTCCCTTGCCTTGAACAGTATTTCAACCATTGAAATAATTGAAAATTTTCTCATCATGCAATTTCTACCAATCACAAAAGAGAGGAAGTGCATAGTCCGAAGACTGTAAAATACTTCAACTCTGTATACCGTCTTCCAAGGAAGACGGTAATAAAAGTCATATCATTCTTCATCAACAGGGGAATAGGGTCACTGACCACCAGATAAGGTCTTTCGGATGAGATCTTTTAAATTAAGTTCCCGTGTCAAGGTAGGCTTTGATACGTTAAAGAAACATCACTGCTCAATGCCCTGAGTGCCGAGTAAGAGGTCTAAATCTGAAGCCCTTCATCGGCATACTGTGACATATATATATATATATATATATATATATATATATATATATATATATATATATATATATATATATATATATATATATATATATATATGAGTGAAAATTTTCAGAATGGGACTTAAACAACGTATAATTATTCAATCAATGTTGAGATAAGATCTAATAACTAAGTGTGGGATCAAACGGTAATCGGTTTATGATTTAGCCGGAATAAAACAAAAAGCGCAAGCTCTTTGAAAAAGCTTAATGTTTTTCGTATAATAAGTTCCCATGTTAATTTTCTTTTGCTCGCCTTATCTTTTACTTGACTTTTGTCGTATGTAAGACAATTGATAAAGAATTTTAAAATGCACGCTTCTATGAGATGTGATCAATATGTTTTGAATATAGAGACAGGTGAATAAGTTCACAATAAAAAAAAAAAAACATGGTTTACCTATTGTTTAAAACAATTCAGTCATGTTATTAATAACAGAGACTGAAAATAAGGTAATAATGTAATGCAAACTGTCACAAACCAAGTGTGAATAAACATAAAAAACTAATTCAAATTATAAGAGAATCGAATGCATCTAAAATCATGAAATACACTTTTAATAAAGACTTTTTCAGGTGTAAGGATTTATTTGCATATGTAAATTGTTACATTACTGACGTCCTTTCATATTGATTTTTGCTCGTCAGTTTGTGACATATAGCAAGTCTTATTTCTAATTATACTTCCCATACGCAAAGACTTCTGGAGTGAAAAATAAAATTGTCACCTATGAACAATCTCATGTTTCGTTCCGCATTACATTTAATTGTCTGGATGATTATTGGGATTTTTTCGTCCGAGAAAAGTAAGATACTTAATTATGAATTAAAAAAAAATGGTTTTGCAGCAATGAATATTTGTAGAAATTCATGCTTTTTTTCTTTTTAAATAACTTGCCTTCTACATTTGTTTATTCATATATTCTTTTGTCTGTTTGATACACAGTGTCAAATTATTTACATACAACAGATACTTCGAACAGATAATATCTTTGAAGTTAAACGATTACAAAATTTATTTTTAAGCAGATGATGGGGACACAAAATAAACAAATAAATAAACAAACAAAAAAGCTTCTTAATTCCATGTCTTTCTATGATGCAGTATTAAATCAAATAAAAAAAATAATCAAGAAAAAGACATGAAAGTTAAAGTAATTTTTTCATATAATGCTAGTCGTTTATTGAGGTCATTATATAATTACCGTTGCATGTTGTATGAACAGGTGAAGAAATTCTTGTAAAACCAACATCAAGTTTCTCCTTGACAATATCTATACATCTTTCGGAGATCTAAATCAAGTCTTCAAACAATCTATTGGGATTTCCTTGGTTTCTAATTTGCTCCATTTTTAGCAGACTTGTTTTTGTACTCATATGAAGAAAATTTTATTCAAAAGCTTTTACATGAAGTCTCTTGCCGTGGCTCTCTATTCGACTAATTTCTAAAACTAGACCGGCTATTGACAATAAGTTGATGATACGAGGATATCAACAATCTAATTTAGCATTCTGCAAATTTTATTTTCGATACAATGACCTTCTTTGCAAATACATCTGACGCTAAGTCAAGTGCTGACTGAAGTCTTTCAAACAAATTGTTGTCCTCCGTGGCACCTAATCCCACCTCTGTTTTCAGAGATCCTTGTTGGCTTGCTGAAATCGACTTTTGAGAATGGTCACCATTTGTTAAGGTCTTCCGCTCCAGGCGGAAGACCTTCTACTGATTCTGATGGTTAAGATTATTAAGGTCTTCCGCTCCAGGCGGAAGACCTTCTACTGATTCTGATGGTTAAGATTATTCTTATTATTCTTTTTTTTTTTTTTCCTAGACGCCAACTTTGAGACCTCATATCTTGCTCATTTCTCAACGGATTTTGCTCAAATTTGCAGGGTTTAAAGACGTTACAAAATTCTATCAGAATGCTGTCAAACATTTCAAAAACCCACTTCCGCTTTTGGGTTATCTCCCTTTAAATGAAAATTTACTAGGCTTCATTTCCAGACAAAGGCTCAGAGACTACTGAAGCTGGAGTAGAAATTCTACCGAATTTAAATAATAGAAGCACTAAAGTTGTGCACATCGGTTTTTGTTTTTCAATTTCTGTATTCAAAATGGCGCTAGAAAGGGATCAAAAATTAGAACGCCAAAAAGAGCGAAAATTTACACATATTTTCCTTTTTATCTTCTAAACTAAAATATTTTGATAAAACATGTAGAATAAAAGTTGTGCACAATTTTAAGGCCTTTCATTTGAGACCACTAAAAAGGGTCTGGCCCCTAAAATTAGGGGTCTTGGGCCCTTTAAAGTTTTTGCTTTATAGCTCAAAAACGGTAAATATTTCGAAATAGCTGCCGTAATTAAAGTTGTTATTTAACATCTTATTGATCTCAAGAAAATGTTATTTTGTTTGAGTCTTGTGTTCTAAATGAGCTAGAAGCATAACACATATACAGGTAAGTGTTTTCATTCAGCAAGTAAACAAGAGCTCTTCATGCGTGTAATTAAAATAAACTTACTATAAATAATAAATCTTGCTATATTAGATGCTAATATTCTTTAGAATCAGGTTTTTGAAGTATTTTGTGCTTTATTTCCAAATTATTTACTGACAACTTTCCCTTTTATTTTGTTTGTTTTCAAATTTGGATAAACCAGTCTACTAAACAGGGAAAAAAAGATAACCTTTTCTTCTTATCATATAAAAACAAACAATAAAGTTAGAAAATAAAACAAAACTTTAGACATAGACTATTCACAGCCATTAAGTACACGCCTTTTACATTCACCTCGTGTGTTTACAATTATGTAACTCCTCCCTCGATAGCGCGTGGCAAAGGAGGTCACCGAGGATCAATCGGCGTGTGAACCAGCGACCTAAGGTCATACACAAAACAAACCATAGAATGGCCATTCCAAATACATTTTAACTAAGTGATGAGTGGATAAATATGTTTAATCTTTCAGATTATTTCGTATCTTTGATTAAGTCGCTAGTACATTTCGATTTATATTTTATTCGCTCAATTACAAGAAAGTTGCATATTTATTCTTATAAACATTGCATTGTTGAGATAATTGCGCTTTGTGGAAAATTACTTTAAAATCATTTCGAATCTTTCATATGATTCCGTCTTACTGTTTAATTATCACTCGCTCGTTTTAATCAGCTAGTCTTAAGTGCCTTTCACTTATTCACTTCAAATTCAATGCATTTTGAATGCCGAAAAGACCACTTTGTTTGCGTATTAAAGAAACAGTTTATTTATCTCTCTTATATATTTTATTATTTAACGAGTTGCTATTTCTTTCATGAACATTAAACAGGATGTATATAATTAAAAACGATAATTGTATGTAGAGGTCACATTTTTAATCGTCAGGAAAATCGAAAATAAAATTAAGTACTTTTGAGTTTGTATTATTTTCTTCCTAACTTACAATATTATTGCATACAAAATACTAGGTCGGACGCGTGTAACTTAACCGCCTCAATATTTCACTTGTATTTGAAAATTCTATCGAGCGTCGAATGAATTTTACCAGTTAAAAAGTGTACCAAAAAAGAACCCTTCCTATGCAGTTTTCTTTGGGAATCAATTGGCTTAGATAGTCTACTCCGACATGTGTTGACAAAACTCACGCAATGAGAAGCATGGATACATTTCAAACTTGTGACCTCTTGGTCCGTGCATGTGAATATTACGCATGGCAATTAGTGTCTGGAAAACGAAGTATGTTTTATAAGTTATTTGACAGGTTAAGATTTGTTCTCATTCCAAATTAAATACAAACACAAACCCTTTATTTTCTTTGTTATTTTATACCGTCAGTTATATCAGATAGATTGTTTTAAAAACGCTTTGTTTAGGAAGATTAATCTTATGCATTTGTTTTATTTCATCTAATAAATTGAATTTACCCATGACACAAATTATTGGTACATGCATGTAAGTACGCGTAAATGCGATTTAATTTGTTTATGCGGAAGAGCGCCCAAAATAAATTCACTTCGAACTCTGGAATTTCCCCATTTTACTGTTTAAATCATAGGTCCACTCAGCTGACGAGTTGTTTTGATAACGGTAATAAATTATATATTCAAATCCTGGCCAGCGATCGTTACGGTTGGTGACATTGCAATTAAACAGGTCGATACTAAGGTACTAAGATACTAATGGGTGTATATATTTTCACCTAATATGTTTTCATTGTTTTCATAAGAAGTAAATTGCTGGAGGATATCATGTTCTCCCTGATCACATTGATAGCGTGTAGAAAGAGCGGTATATGAACACACGCTTTTGTGTACAAGCAAACGTGTAAACCAAAAGGATGGGGAAAAAACGACGAAATAAAAACATTTCTCTATTAACTGAAATTATTGTCTTTAGACAGATAAAAATAAATGACTATCCGCCTGAGAACATGTGAAAATTATACCCAAATACAATGTAACGAAGGATTTTGGGTTTAATCCCGAGTACACAATTATAGCAATGATGTGTACATGTACATGCAGAATACCTCTTTTTTATCCTTCGTCCATGTGTTCCTCCTTAGCGGAAAAAATTATCAGTAAATTATATTATACCGAACGAGGTTGAAAAATGCCGAACTTTATTTCTTAAAATTAACAGCAATTATCCGACTTTTCTCATATCACTATAAAAATGCCGTAAAAACTAAAACCGTCTGGTTTGACTTTGTCAACGCGTTTTAGATCGGGTTTGAGATTTTTATTAAATGTCGGGAGTATTTCGCTTATTCTGCAAGTCCGTATAATGAAAGAAAACACTGACAGATTTAGAGAAGGTTCAGGGGGCCTGCCCCCACTGGCGGATTTAAGTGGGGCTTGGGGGCGCAGGCCCCCCCCCCTAAAATTTTCAAAATATGACATGACTAATATTAATAATGCCATACTTTGGTTTTATAATTAATGGTCAATTAAAAAATGGTAATTTTATTTTATGACCAAGTATCAGTTTTCTTAAAAATCAAGTCTGAAAACCTTGCATTCCCTAGGCTATGAATATTATCTCATAATTATTCAAAGCGGAAAACGTCTCCAGATTTCGTTTGAAGGGTAGACAGCACTTGTCAATTTCCTATGATGATGCAAAGAAAAATACTGCAATATTTAAAGGCTGGTCGAAGGTAAATAACATTCGGCAAACCTCGGCTGATTCCGTCACCTTCATCCAGATGAGGTACGAATCGGCCGAGGTGTACCGAGTGATCGGTAAATAAATGAATTTAAAATCAGAAGGTCTACGTTACAAACCTATCCACTGATTGATGTATTTATTTATCAAATGGTGTAACTATGCAGTAATTTAGTTACATAGATACAAGACTTTTTTTTAACGTCAGGATATAGGTTAGGATGGTCACAGACGAGTGTAACTTCGACCACCTGGTTAATTTCGACTGTTCATAAATACCTTAAAATAATTTGTTTATAACCCATTATAGTGTACACACATCTATTTTATGCAGAAAGAAAATGCATTTTTCATATACAAATCAATGTTGATAATAATAGGCGAAATTTATTTCTTTACTGGAAAATTACACCCAAGAAGAAACTTTATCGCCCGAAAAATTACGGACGACTTTTTTAAACCATTGCGGGGAATTATCAGTTTATCACCTCTAAAAATATCTTGTATATACAGGAAGACACAGTGGATATTCCTGGCGTGAAATTTATCAACTATGTTTAAATTTGCAACTTAAATTCATACCTTTTAAATTTATAGTATTTAGTTTTTACAAATAAAATGCAAATCAGCTGAACAGAA